CCGAGTCCTCTACCTTTACCAGACCTCCTCCTGAGGGACCAAACTCTCTACCTTTACCAGATCTCCTCATGAGGGACCAAACCCTCTACCTTTCACAGATGATAGAACCTGATTAAGTCTTGTGGATGTACTTATCTGTAGACCTCCAGGTCTACAGTCCAGATGATGGAAGGGCCTCACACATGTGGGACTGTGATTAGCTTAATCTGCATCTGTGTCCATAGTAGATGAGATGGGGTGGCTCCTTCAGTCCAGATGATGTTCAGATTTAAGATGAGTCACACAAAGCACAGGGGGTTGCTCTTAGCATTGGCATTAAAAGTACGGACTACTATGAACTGCTGTGAGGAACTGCTTGTTCTGTTACCATGACATGCTTGAGATGGTACCAGCCTCATTCCATACCCGTTTCAACCTGTTCCAGGTCCTGGTAATGACCCGGTGCCATGAGGCCTGGACAGAGCATTAGTTCATCACAAAGTCATACAAGTGAGACATTCTCCATGTTCTGGAGCTCTAGTGCATTATTAATTGATGAGATCATATCAATATAGATCAACTTTACTGGTCTTGGAACTGGAAATGTACACATCTGGAAAGACTACATCAGCGCTGAAAGGTGGGTTGTAGAACCTCTGTTCCATCTTTGTAGGAAGGCCTTCCTCTCAGGTGGTGGTCTCCTCTCAGGACCACCACCTCCTGCCTCTGTTCCCACAGCAGAGCCTTGGTTGAGGGATCCAGACCTGCATACAGTCCAGATGCTTCAGCACATGAAAACATTACCCCACAAGTGTTGACAACACGCCTCTCCCAAAGGTTGAGCAGCTGGACTCCTCACTTGCAGGTATTTGCAGACAGATGTGTGAAGAAGCGGGGGATTCTGCACTGGGGGAAACACGGAGCTGTTCCAGTATCACATGTCTGTAAAATGTCTGAAGCCCATCAGGACAGACACGTGTTGACACAGCTGTACCAAATGCACCATGCATGGAAAGCTCATACTCTGAATGATTTATTTTTGTCTGTTTCCTGTTGTTTTCCCATGGTCTCATGTGGACACAAACACTTGACTGCCCAAATTAAATCATTTTTATACAAGTCAGTTATTTATTCTGACATACTTTCATTTGACAGAGTTAGGAGGTTTTGGGGCTTCGGTTTGCAGATCCAGGCTGTTCGATCTCGGACTGCATTTCAGGCTGCGTCTGACGTAGATTCCTACGGAGGCCCCGAAGGGAAAGAAGGTTCGCGTTTCTCAAACCAGAAAGTCTCTCGTGCGCACGAAATACGAAGATGGCCGCCGAAAAATATCTTAAACTTTGTTGAAATGCAAATTATAGCTAATAATGCCCCCATTCTCCATAAATCTTGTAATCTCCTCACATATCACAGTGTTGTGGTGTTCTTATCCCAGTGACATGTGCAGACTGGAGATAGCTGTGGAGTCTCATATCTACGGAGGCCGCACAGCGACATTGAAGAAAATTTAACAAAACGTTTCTCATGCGCATTACAATTTTTCAACAAAGTCCCTTTACGGCTTCCAAAGATTCCAAAACCGCCGGTCACAAACATGTGAGGTGCACAGAAGCCAAAGCCCCCTCCGCCCATACCGGGTGCGGGGGGGCCGGGGACCAGCAGGACGGTGTAGTGGGAGATTCTGTCCCCCTGTGGAACGCTGTCCCCGCGTGCCGTGTAGCTGCTGGGTGAGCTGTAAGCGGCCTCCCGTCCACGGGGGGGCGCTGTTCCACAGGGCTCTGAATCCGCTCCTGGGCAGAGAAGAGGAGGCGGCGCCCGGCCGTATCAGGTCGGTTACATGATGCCCCTGACCGGGACAGGAGCGAGGAGAGCGGGTTACCGTCCGTGGAAGCTGCGCCACTCCGAAGGTAAGGCCGTGTCCCCGTCCGCTGCTCAGCAGGCCCCCCCGCGGCGGCTCACAGCCCCGGAGCTGTCTGAGCCCCAGGTGACGGAGCACCTGCGGACCTGGTGGGGAGGAAGCCCCGCCGCAGCGGCCGGTGCGGCGGGGGCGCCTCCGCGAACAGGGCCGGCCGGGGGGGCTTTTGCTTTGGTACACCCAAAGTAAAAGCCATCATTTCTGGAGTGTAACAGTAGTTCTACTGTTCTTCAGGCTGCTGGAAGAACAGCTCAGGCTGCTAGTCAGGCTAGA